ACACTAGGAAGAAGGGCACCCTTATTATTAAGGGGTTACTGGGGAACCCAGTTCCCATCCTGCTGCATGGACAATTCAGGACTGGGGCGAAGGAGCTGGCGACGAAGTTGCCCAGGAAGAAGACGACGAGGCGTTTGTTCCACAGCTGAGCACAACTGTTCACCAGAAGATCCTCAGCCTCAACAAGTCCGGCAAGTGCCCTGGCGTCTTTCTTTTGCAAGCTGTTTGCGGCCAACTGTTTTCCAACGCGGGTGTCCCTGTTACCATTTCCCAGGCCCTCTATGGATCTGGGGCTAGGCACCTAGGAATCTACCTCAGAACCTCCACTCGTAACCCTTTGCCCCAAAAGTGCAAGACCCTGGGTGCTCTGACTCGTCGTCCTCTTTCGCTGCTGCTGCTGCTGCTGCTGCTGCTGTTGCTAGTGCTGCTGCTGGTGCTGTTGGTGCTGGTGCTGGTGGTGCTGCTGCTGCCCCTGCTGCTGCCAATGCTGTGGTGCTGCTGCATCTACAGCAGCTGCTATGAAATTATAGCTACTGCAATTATCTGAACTCTAGTCCAAACTCCTTGAGGGTGGGTATATAGGGGACTATATATGGGAGTAGTATAGAGATTATGAAGGTGGATGCTAGGAGTTTAGACTATGGCTCATGTAGCCCAGGCTTTGTTCCGCCATTGACCTCGACAAGGCTGGCTTGGGGTGCCTGAACCCCAAACGCGACAGCCTCACACTCAACCTCACAACAGTTCCCAGAGGGTCCACATATAGAACCATTAGGGAGTTGGGACCCATAATTCCTTCTATAGTATGGTATTTGGTGGCCTAATTCACTAACAGTTGTATATATGGACCCTCTGGGGTTTATATTCAGCTGCAAGCCTCAACAACTTTCGCCTAGCACGTTCAAGTCTGCGCCCCCAAAATTGAACCCCAAACGATGAGTACTTCACTCCGAACCCCAAACCCACAACGTCTTTTCCAGCAAGCCCTTGACAAAGGTCTTAACTTTGAGCCCTAAACCAGGAACCACCCCCGCTGAACCCTAAACCCTAAATCCTAAACCCTAAACCCTAAATCCTAAACCCTAAACCCTAAATCCTGAACCGGAAATCCTAAATCCGAAGCCCTAAATCCTGAGGTGGGTAACAACATGCGGCGCCTCTCAGAGCCCATCGCCCTGCAGCTGCTCAAGGCCTCGATTTTCGTTGTGGCATATGTACTATAGTCTACACTCCT